AATCCTCAATGGTTCTTTTTCTCCAAAATTTTCTCGTTAAGTAGAGAAAAAGAATTTGATAATGGAAAGTGAATCTTAATCTCACTGGTGTCAACTATATCGCGATGAGCGGCGACGTCAGCAAGGGATTGAGGGCGGTACTTTTCGACCCAAGGTGTGGCTTTTGGGCCAGTGCCAGTGGAGACGATAACGTTCTTGCCCTTGTTTTTCACCGTGGTGGTGACAATAGCGGCGGTGTTGGTGTTGTTCTGGTCATCGTCGATTTCCATGAAGGAGATTTCCTCTGCCATTGTTTGGAGCTCTGAAAATTTAGAACTATCTTCTCACTTTACCATTGTCTTGAAAGAATATATTGTGGTCTTTTATTTACGTATTGGCGCCAAATCCCAACCTTTTTTTCCCATTTTTTTTTTTTAATTAAAGTTGGGTAAAAAGTCCCAAACATCCTCCAACTTTTATCCAAGTAAAGTTTTAGTTCTCCAACAATTAAAAGAAAAGTTTTGGTCCTCAATCTAACAAAAGAGCATAGTCGTGGCCTTTTCCGTCAAGTCAAGTAGTTGAGATCGACGGAAAGCATCATCACATGAGACACATGACCGAATATCAAGGGCATTATAGTTTGTGCATGAGTGTTTACTAAATAAAAATAGTTTGACCATGAAAAATCGCACAATGGGACCTCATTGCTCATTCCTATCAATATAAAATTACTCATCCCATTTAATGAGGGGAGATTAAAGAAGAACTTGCTATTCTTTTCTCCGGAACAAAAATAAAAGTTTCTTGAGTGCTCTCCTGCTTTCCTTAGGAAGTATAATCAGTTTAAATTAAGGATACAGAAAACCTTAGTACCCTATTGTTGTAATGAAATTCATGAGTGAACAAGCCCCAGACCTTGGTAATTGACACAAGTTTTGACAGTGGAATTCCTATACAGACCCCTCTAATCCCTGCGATTGCGAATGCTGATACGATTGTAACCTATAATCAAACGAACTAGCAAATCCTAGGAAGGTAGTTGGTGCCACAATCAAGAGTAATGTCTTGATTGATAAATCGGATGAACACTCAAAAAGATTCTAAAGTGTTCAAGGGTACTCAAAGAGCCAAAGAGAGTTTTCTCTCTTGATAATTTTTTGGAATAAATTTCGTATCTATCATTGAAAAGAAACAAAGCTTTTATAAGTCTTTTACATATTGAAATTCTAATTAAACTTGGAAAGACTCACGACCCTACTTATCCCTAAGCAAGCCGAACATGACAGGCCTTATAATGGACGAATCTAAGCTTATATAGCTGATCCATTTGCTACTTTCTAATGACTAAAAACCTGATATGTTTGGATACCCCAAATTTGGATAATTTGGTTGGAAAAACAAAATCTATGATTTGGGTTTCTGACAACATGTGCCGAATTGAATTTTGAGAATCATGAGCAATTATGGCTTTCGTATACCTTCTGGTGGATAAGAAATGTCCTTAACAGCTGCGGGTCCCACACTTTGACCCACCACCCATCTCATTTGCCTTCACATGTTGGATATATTGGCCGGCACATTGAGATTTGGGATTAGAATTCGAGGACTACAACCAAGATGAAACCTACGGGGAAGTTAACAAGATCCTGGGCAGCAGGAAAACCTCTCTCCCAAACGGGGCCCAAGTCATGGAATACTTAATTGAGTGGAAAGACGATCATACCCCCACGTGGGTCCCATCCGAATTCATAGCTAAAGACGTCATAGCCGAATTCGAGACCCCGTGGTGGACGGCGGCTAAGAAAGCCGACGAAGCAGCGCTCAAGAGCCTCATCGAAGCCGGCGACAGACGTGACGTCGATGCTGTCGACGAGGACGAAAGAACGGCTCTGTTGTTCGTGTCGGGGCTCGGCTCGGAGGATTGCGTCAAGTTGTTAGCTGGAGCCGGAGCCGACTTGGATTATCAGGATAAGAACGGCTTCACGGCTTTACATATTGCGGCTGGGTATGTGAAGCCGGGGGCCGTTAAGGTGCTGGTCGGATTGGGTGCGCATCCCGAGGAGGAAGACGATAGAGGACGGACGCCGTTGGATTTGGCGCGAGAGATTTTAAAAGTGACGCCGAGATTGCAATTTGCGAGAAGATTAGGGTTAGAGAGTGTAATTAATATTTTGGAAGGGGAAATATTCGAGTACGCGGAGGTGCAGGAGATATTGGAGAGGAGAGGGAAAGGTGATAAAGTAGAGTATTTGGTCAAATGGAAGGACGGCGAGGATAATGAGTGGGTCAAAGCTGGATTAGTGGCAGAGGATTTGATTAAAGATTTTGAGGCTGGGTTGGAATATGCTGTGGCCGAGTGTATTCTTGATAGGAGAGAATCAGCAGATGAGGGTGGGAAGAAAGAGTTTTTAGTTAAGTGGACGGATACAGATGAGCCCACGTGGGAGCCTGAGGAAAATGTGGACCCTCTTTTGATTCAAGCCTATGAGAAGATTGATCAAAATGGCAATGGAATGAGTTCATAATTCAGACTTACTAATTTCTACTCCACTTATGATCCAATCTGCTTCATTTTCTTTTGTAAGATCTAATTAGTTTTTGTCCACAAGTTTTGGGCTAGGAAATTAGTGATCAATTCAGGACAATATTGTTGTACACGATGAACATGTTATTGTACATTAATTGTTGTTGTTGAGATGAAAGTTGCTGAAACTCGAATGAATTTCTTCAATAGTCAATTTCCAAATTCCCATATGAATTTTAACTGCTTGTTGTGTCCATTTGTTTTCTTTTTCTTCTTTTTTTTTTGTTGAATTTGATCAAATGCAGCAAATGGTCACCTGAAATCTTTTGTCGCTTGAATTGCTATTTTTTGAAATTTTTGTAAATAAATATACTATAATAATTTAATATATATATAAAGTAAAAAAAAATTAGAAAATATATTCATACAAAATATAAAAAATTTTCCTTGAAAACCTACCTTCCAAACAAGGTCATAGGATGTACATGTGATTGTGTCAAAATTGAGCAAACACTAAGAGCACAGGAATCTTACAAAAGAATGCATCATTGTGATCATGGATTTCCCACTAACTAGCTACTAGTGGACCACTAGTGAAAGCATTTGCATTCAAGTCTTCTTTGCAGCATTTTACTGGCTTTGCAGGTTTTGACTTCTGAGAGTTCTAAAACAGATATAGCCAGTTTGAGGAGAAGAAAATTTTAAACATGACCAAGAGCTTAATAGCTGTTGGCATATGGAAAGGTAAATAATGTTCCGCAATTCGTCTTCCTTTTTCTGCATTTCCCTTATTTATTGTTACATATCTTTATATAGGTTCTTTCAATTTCTAGGAACCTTGATTAATTGAGGGTTAGGTTGTATAATGGAGCACATACAATGCTTAATGTGATAGCTAATAGATTCATGACATCTTCAAAATTGTGGACACCTCGACCGGTTCGGCCAAGATTCAACTTCACATCGACATATCCTATGTATCTGAGGTTAACATAAGTTTCGACTTATTGACATTTAGTTGATATTTGACATGATTGATGTGATAATTAGTCAACACATAGTGTAGATCTATTTTTGGTACTACTGCTCTACTCTACTCTATGAGATTAGACTACACAACTAGACCTCATCATCTAGTCCCCTATTTCCACTAATATAAATACTAGTCATTTGTTAAATTACAAGACATGCACTCTAGCCTATCCAAGCTTATACAAGCCAAATACATATCTGACTTAGGTATTGGAGTGATCTCAGGGCGAAAGCCCTGACCTCCATTTTCCAGCGTTGTAGGTGAGCTTTTATCGCACACCGGTTCGGCTCGGCCTCGCGGAACCTCGGTTGCACAAAAACGACGTGCAACTGAGACATTGCTTATGTACTACCAAACTGTGGTTGTTTTGTTGGCTATTATATGTTTCTTTTGCCCTTTATGATGGGTGCTGAGAATGCTTACCTCGACCATCGTCAAGGCCGAGGTCATCTCACTTCGTCCGTCATACAGGTCGTGATGATGTCTCTTAGACATGACCCCTGGGTCCGGCCAGATCTCTGGTCTACTGCATGGATGACCTCTGTACCTTAGGCATTTCACTTCAACTGCACGCTGATGATATCAACCTACCTGACACAATACAGAACCAGTGCTTTATCTGAAAAGCACCTGATGCTCTTAATGGCTACTGCAGAGGACACCTCGTCAGCATGTCCAGACTGTTACAGTGTCAGAGTCAGACCTCCTGGTGTGGGACAGAGCCGTAATGGGCAGGACGTGGGTCCTACTAGCATAAGCCCACCGTCATGTCCTCCACTCCTGCCCTATAAATACCTCCCATTCACTTCCAACAAGTAAGCATACTGTTTATTCATACCCGCTCTTATTTTCTTGTTCTCTCAATATACTGACTTGATCGTCGGAGTGATCCTAGGGGAGAAGCCCTGCCATTCACTTCGAACAAGCGAATTCATCCCACCTCACTTGAGAGAGGACTGATTCAGGTCGGTTCTGCTACCCACTAGAAATTATCTCTTCAATTGGTGCCGTCTGTGGGAACGAAATTACTGCTAAATGAGACCTACGCGCTCCAGAAGCAGGAGAGTTCCCTCAACCGGGGCTGAGCAAGTCTCAGCTGCTCAACAAGATCGCGTCTTAGAGGAACAAGGGTCCTCGATAACCCAACCCGCAAACGAAGACGCCATCGCTAGGATGGCCTAGTTTGTAGCAGACAATCCCAATATTTTCGAAAAACTAGGGAGGTACTTCAAGAGGTAGGGAAAAAAGAAGGCTGAATCCTCCAAGAGGAGATCGACGAAATCACTTGAGGTGCCCTCAAGTGAGGACTCTGACGATGGGCATCTCTCCCGGAGTACCTTAAGGCGCGCCTCTTCCAAGGTGACCTCCAAAATTGCCTTTTTTTCCTTGGCGTTTTCCCGGGGTTTACTGGGAAGATGAGTTGAGGACGCACCTCGGCGCCCTGAGGGGCTAGCAGCCGACTACATGGGGGTTTCGCCCTTTACTGATGATATCAATGGGGAGCGAGTTCTCCCTAATTTTAAACTTCCGGTACTGCAGCCCTATGCTGGACGAGGTGACCCTGAGAATCACCTCCGCGCCTTTATCTCGACATTCCGCCTCTGCTGCGTCCCCAACGTCGTGATTTGCCAAACCTTCCCCATCTTCCTGCAAGGGACCGCCCGAAAGTGGTTCTGGAGCTTGGAACAAAGGAGCATTTTCTCACTGGACGAGTTGGTGGACAGGATTATTCACCGCTTTGTATCGTCTCGCCCAGTCATGAAAATTTCAGCCTACCTCTTGAACCTACAGCATGTTCCTGAGGAGTCACTGCGCTCATATATGTAGAGGTTCAATGAGAAAAATGTGCAGATACCTGATCAAAATGAGCAGGTAACCATAGATGCCTTCACCAACGAGTTGATCGCAGGAATCTTCCACACCGAGATACATCGGGATTACCCCTGTTCATTTCGAAAATTCTGGGAACGGGTAGACCGAGGAATCAGAAGTAAGAACCTAAACTGCATGAAGCGGAAAGCCCAAGCAGCCCATGTTGGGCAAGAGTCCCGAAGGAAGAAAGAAATCGGCCTAGCCGAACAGGTCCCCACCTCGTCGAATCCTTTCCGAGATTGTCGGAGCATTTTCGATAGGATTGTGAAGGGGAGGTCGTCCATCTTGGACGCTGAGCTAACTCCCCTCAACTCCAGTCGGTCTCACATTCTGGCCGTAATGAGACAAAACCACCTCGATCGAGTCCCTCCTGAGATCTTGGGTAGGAGAGAGAAGAGGAACCCCAACCTCTACTGTGCCTACCACCGGGATGTGGGGCACGAGACCGAGAACTGCAATGACTTGAAGAAGGAAATTGAAAATTTGATCAGACAGGGATACTTGAAGTAATTCGTCCGCAAGGATGGGAGCTTCAACCGAAGTGCCTCCCACCGAGATAACCGAGACCTCCGCCGAGAGGACAGGCGAGGCACAAAGAGTCATTGTTGTGGGCCCGAGGACCATAGGGAGGACCAGCGACCTCCACGAGACGGGTTCCCAGGCTACGACCCTAATATCGCGGGGGTCATCAATACATCGGGTGGTCCGACGGGAGGAGACAACCAGAACTCCCGCAAACGGACCTACCGTCAAGCCGGTCTGGAGGCTGCCGAGCCGAGTTCCAAGCTATCCGAGGTGATCACTTATGGTCCCAGCGATCTTGTTCCTACCGCCTCCAGCAACCACGAATCCCTCGTGATTGAAATTCTCATCAATAATTACATAGTCAAGAAGGTCTATGTCGATCCCGACAGATCGGTAGACGTCTTGTACTACCAAACCTTCGAAAGGTTGAAACTGACCAGAGAGCAGCTCACTCTTGTCAGAACCCCTCTCGTTGGATTCGAGGGACATGTGGTCTACCCAAAAGGGATGGTGTCCCTGATGGTGACTGTTGGCCGTTACCCCCACTGTCAAACTATACGCGTTAGCTTTGCGATCGTCAAAGCAGATTCCCTTTACAACATGTTGATAGGTCGTCCCGCGCTCAACGTCTTGAAAGTTGTGTACTCTACCTACCACCTGAGTTTTAAGTTTTCGCCACCTGCGGGGGTGGCTGAAGTGAGCAGCGATGTGAACGCGGCCAAAGAATGCTACCTCGTCACCATCCAAACTGCTGTCACTCCCCGACCTTAGTCAAGAGTTGAAAGGAAGAGGCCAACTGTCCTTTCCATAGACAGCATCGATTCTCAGAAAATCGAGAAGCCTGGCAGGCTTAAGCCCGGGAACGAGGTGGAGGTGGTGATTTTGGATGAGGTGAGACCTGACCAGATGATCCCAGTGGGGACGAGTCTCCCCTCGCCCCTCAAAGAAGAAATGATCAACCTGATAAAAGACCATCGAGACGTCTTCGCGTGGTCCATTGATAAAGTGGTCGGGGTGTCCGAACTCATGGTTCACTAGCTTAACGTCAATCCACAGGCCCGTCCTGTTAGACGAAAACGTAGGCACTTCGGCCCTGAGTGCAGCAGGGTTATATCCGAAGAGGTCGACAAGCTCTTACTCACCAGGACGATCCACAAAATCTAGTATCCCACCTGGTTGTCAAACCCCGTCATGGTCAAAAAAGACACTGGTGGATGAAAAATATATGTAGACTTCACCGACCTTAATAAGACTTGCTCCAAAAATTGCTGCCCGCTGCCGAGGATAGACGCCCTCGTTGACTCGGCGATGGGACATGAGATCCTTTGTTACCTAGATGCCTTCAAAGGGTACCATCAAATAGGAATGAGTGAGGAAGGTCAGGAGAAGATAGCGTTCTAAACCGACTGAGGTGTTTACTGTTACACCACAATGCCGTTCGGGTTAAAGAACGCCGGGGCGACCTATCAAAGGCTGGTCAACTATCTCTTCAAAGATCAGATCGGCCGCAATATGGAGGCCTATGTGGACGATATTCTCGTCAAAAGTATGACCACTTTGGCCTTCTTGTCAGATGTGAGGGAGGTCTTCAGCATCTTGCGGGATTCAAAGATGAAGTTAAATCCTAAGAAATGCGTCCTCGGCGTCATTTCTGAAAAATTTTTGGGGTATTTGGTTTCCTGCCGGGGAATTGAAACTAACCCCGATAAGGTCAAGGCCATCCAGGACATGTACCCACCTCGAAACTTTCGAGAAGTTCAGAGGCTAAACGGGCACCTGGCCGCACTGAACCGCTTCCTGTCTCAATTTGCTGAGAAGGTCTTACCCTTCTTTAGGGTGCTGAAGAAGGCCGACCAGTTCGCCTGGATCGAAGAATGCCAGCAAGCTTTCGACCAATTGAAACAATATTTGCATCACCTTCCTACTCTCGCTTCACTTCGACCCGAGGAGAAACTGTACCTCTACCTCTCCGCGGCTGACAAGACTGTCAGCGCTGTGCTCATCCGAGATGAGGGTACTCAAGTGCCGGTTTACTATGTCAGCAGAGCTCTCCGCGAGCTAGAAACTCTGTACACCCAAGTGGAGAAACTCGTGCTAAGATTAGTCATGCGGCTTGACGGTTGAAACTTTATTTTTTAGTTCATCCCATCTCCGTTAGGACAGATCAGCCTATTCGGCGGATACTGGTGCGTCCCAAGGCTTCCGGGGGCCTCACCAAGTGGACTGTCGAATGAGGAGAGTACGATCTGTCGTATGAGCCACGCACTGCCATCAAAACTCAAGCATTAGCAGATTTTCTTGTCGAACTCACCTTCTCGGAGAGCCGAGACGCCACTTCCGCCACCTCCGACCTGTCCAAGCCGCATTTATGGACGTTGTATAAGGACGGATCCTCTAATGAAGATGGCAGCAGCGCAGGATTGCTCCTGGAGGGCCCCCACGGAGCAGTATGCTCATACGCCCTCCGCTTCGACTTTCCAACCACCAATAATGAAACCGAATACGGGGCCTTGATTGCAGGATTTCAGTTAGCCCGCAAATTTAGTGCTTAGCGGATCCATGTCCGCAGCGACTCCCAGATTGTAGTGGATTGAGGCCGAGTCTCTAAGGATCATCACAGGACTGGCGGTCCAAAAATTCTTCTGGAAATGCATCATTTGCCGCTTCGTGATACCTCAGGTCATCATTTCAGATAATGGGAAGTAGTTTGCTGAGAATCCGTTTAAAGGTTGGTGCGAGGACCTCGACATCAAGTAGCACTTCATTTCGATCGGTCACCCTCAGGCCAACGGGCAGGCTGAAAATTTTAACCGCACTCTCTTGCATGGCCTTAAGATCCGACTACACCAAGCTGAATCGTCATGGGTAGAAGAACTCCCCAGTGTCTTGTGATTTTATCGGACTACGTTGAGGTCAGCCACACAGGAAACCCCTTTCTCCTTGACGTATGGCTCTGAAGCGGTCATTCCGACCGAGATCCTGACACCTAGTCCCCGGATCGCAACCTACACGGCCAAGGCAAATGTAGAAGCAATACTGATAGACATTGACCTCGTCAAAGATAAAAGAGATGCTGTCTCGGCCCGGATTGCTTCATACAAAAACACCCTGACCCGTTATAACAATGCCCGCATGAAACATCGCCGATTCCAATCAGGAGACTTGGTCCTCAGAAAAACTCAGTCAGCAGAGCTGAACCGCAAGGGAAATTATCCCCTAAATGGGAGGGCCCCTATCGAGTCATGGAATCTAATTTGAGTGCGTATTGTAAGTTAACCTACCGAGGTTCTCTAGTGCCGAGAACTTGGCACGCCGAGAATCTTAGATTGTATTATGCTTGAGAACTTCAACGAATTGTTAATTGAGCCACTTCGTTATTTTTTAATATCTTGATACCATACACTCGCTATTAAAAAATAAGGGGGATAAGCAGGAGACGAAGCGAAAAAGTAAAAGAGTCGAGATGAGAAGAAATAGAAAGTTCATTTCATGAAAAGGAATATTACAAAAGGAAGAATATAAGAACCGACGTCAGGAACGCTACTAAGCACCTCCCACCTCGGTATTCCCTTTGCCCCCACTAGCCTAGGCTCCGGTCTCGGCTCCCTCTTGGCTGGTCTTCTCACCGACCTTTCCACCGCCGAGGTGAGCTCCTTCTTCCTCTTGCCCTCGCTGGTCTTCTCGCCGGCTTCCTCCCCGCCGGGTTGAGTTTTTTCTTCGTCTTCTCCGTCCTCGAAAACCTGGTCAAACTAGGACAGCCATTTATTGAACTCGTCCCGGATCTCGGCCAAGTTTCGTCCAACTTGGCTACCTTTGGCCATCCGATCGCATAGTTCCTTGGAGTTCTCGTTGTAATGAGCCTTGTTCTTGAAGGATTCTAAGGTTTCGGATGAGAGGTGAGGAGCGATCTCGTCGATAGCAGAGGTGTAGCCAAATATAAAACTCGGCATGGTCAGCTCCCCGAGGTCTTTGGTGAAGGTCTCGGGCCTCCACAGCCGAGGCCCCAGCACCCTCGAGTGCCTGCTCGTGGGATTTCTTCACCTCTTCCCCCCTTTTCTGCTCCTCTTCGAGAGCCGATCTGAGGCTGTTTATGGTAGTCTCGGCCTCCTCTACCTTCACTTCAGCCTGCTGCAGCCGGCTTTGAACCTCGGTCTTCTCGGACTCCGACACTGTCAGCTTCTTCTCCAGCTTCTCTATTTTATTTTGGAGCAGGTCGCTATACCGACGTGACATCTCGGCAACAAAAGTCGTAGAGGAAACTATTGCCACCATGAGGCTCTGGATCACCTCTTGAGGAGTCAATTTTTCTGTAAACTCCGCATCCCTCGGCAAGTTGGAGAACATAACCAACTCCTGGGCTGCACGAGGTTGGATACACCGGTCATTGATTGAAAGCTGCCAGTTCGGACACCAGTGCTCGCCGGGGTGCGTCTTGTCTTTCTTGGGAAATCGAAGTGCGCTATGGAAACGATTCCACAACGAAGACCCCGTGACCGGCATGACCGAGGACTTCAGCTGCTTGTCTCGGCCATGATGAGGTAGAGCAACTGTGACTCCTTGAGTTGCCACCCCTTCTGGTGCTGATGATGTGGACTCCGTAGCTGCTGCAGCCGAACTGCTTTTGGCTGCGTGGCCAAGGTGCTCTTGGCCACCTTAGCCATGACAACTGGCCCTTGTGGTTTCTTCGTTGGCGGTGGTGCCAATGTCTCGTCCGAACTCTTTCTCTTCGGCCTCTTGGCCACCTCTGCCGAGCCGTAGGTTATAATATCGAATAATTTAACCACTGCACAAGGAGCAAACATTATTATTTATAATAGTCGAAGTAAAGAGAAGGCTAAAAAAGAAAAGTTACAAGGTTTCTTAAATCTAGTGGAAAAGAAGGGAGGTTTCTCAAGGTCGATCACGGCTCGGCTAATCCTCACATCAACCAACACAACCCCATCAGTTTCTGGAAGCCCTTCTCGTCATGATCCCCTGGGGAAGGGTCGGCTTTCGACTTAAGGGGCCTTCACTAGAAACCCTAAGAGAAGTCCTCAGCTGTGACGAAAACGAAGTCGCGCTTCCAATTTTTTATCGAAGTGGGAGCGCCGACCACGAGTTTTGAGATAAAATTGTTCCAGTTGCAGATGTGGAACCACCCCATATCAGTCCCATGCGCCTTGAAGGTGTAGTACCGACGAAAGAGATTAACTGTGGGGGTCACCTCTTGATGTCGGCATAGTATCTCCAATCCCACCAAAATGCGGACCGCGTTAGGGACCAACTGAGTGATCTTGATGTCGAAGTGCCGAAATACATCCCTGAGAAATTTCGACGTCGGCATCCTCAGCCCAGCCTCCAGCTGCTGCAAGTAGATCGCCACTGTGCCCATTGGGGCCTCTCGGCCTAGTGGTTCGGCCCAGGCGGCCTGATGACGTATCCCGCCCTGATAGGGTATTTCCTTATCACCTTCTGAACCCTATCTTTTCCGACGCGACTCCTGAACTTCGGCATCTTGCCGAAGTCAATGTTGGAGAGGTCCCCTGGAGCGACCGGCTCCAGCACACCTTCATCATGGGGGATTTTGGTTCCGAGATCATCATTGTATATGACCTCAGAACCGCCCTCACTCATCTCAAAAGATTCCAGTTCCGGGGTGGTCTCGGCGATTTCTTCCTCGGCACTGGACGATGACTCCTCAGAACTGGACGAGGTCTCGCCTTCTGAGGGGTCGGGCCTTTCCTCGGCTTGGTAGTTCGGCGTCACAGTTTCTTTGTGGGTTTTAGCCATTC